ATCTGAAATGGTGAAACAAACTTACTCATGGGATGAGCTTGTGGAAAGGCACAAGGGGTGGATGTGAGCTCTTCTAAGGTTTCCTTATGTCTAATTTATTCTTTTCAAGATGATGTGGTGTGTGGCCAAGAATAGCCACAGTGCAGAGTGTGAAGGGTGGATTTCTTCTTTCTCCCCCAAGCATAAAATGTCTATTCCTGGACCACTTCATACCACCCGTCCATCCTATCTACACCGCAGTCAGCTAGTAAGAAAGAATAGCTTTGATAGATTATTTGGTCTAACACTGATTTGCATTTTGGGTAGATTATATACTTCAGCTGGTATTGTTTCTAGAGATATTTTTGTTATCATTTTTCAGTTACTCGTCTATGACTATAACTACATTCAAATACATTCTAAAGTCGTGCACACACATATACATGAAAATATACTTCTGTACCCATCATTTGTTTATAAGTTGGCAAGATAAGGTGGCACAGTAGCTTTGTGGCAGGGTTGGCAAAGGATTTGTGACAGAACAGATTCTTGAGAAAGTTCGAAGGGAAGATTCATTTCACTTTAAATGATGGGTACAGAATGAGGCCTATACTTTTGAAGGTCTAATTTGTATTATTATGAGTGAAATGTAGCATAGTTTTTGAATAATTTTTTAGCAAGAATATAAAGTTTCATATTGGGCATTCTAAGCAGTGCATCTTACTTTAGAAATCCTAAGGCCTCTACACCCATTGACAAATGGATCCTAAGGCCTCTACACCCATTGCCAAATGGTTTTGAGTTGCATGCACCAAATTTATCAATTTTGTTTTGAGGTCTTAACCCCTCAGTTTATTTGGTCTACTCAACCATTAATGTTTATGCTTGGAAACTTCAAATTCTCATTCTTCCCAAATTACAGGTTTTAGGGGTAAAAAGAAGGCAGGTTTCTATTGGTTCTGGCTCCAAATCAAGAGACAAGGTTGTTATTGTGGAGGAGATGACTCTACAAAGTGTTTTTGACATCCTGGACAAAGCTTCGAAGTCCACCTAATAGAGTGAGAGATGAATTTGATCCTTGAATGAGACGTGAAGCTGCATTGTACTGTAGCAGCTAACCGAGTCACTTGTGTTTATTGGAAATTGTCTTGTTGATGTTCCAGGTACTTCAAAACTGGCATTGTTTGCGCTGTCTACACGCAAATGACTACTTGTTTATAAATGCATCTTTTAATACATGTATACCACAGCGAGTACATTACATTATATGAATTATGAGTTGTGTTCATACTTATATTTCTTGCCCTTGTAACAGATGTTCTATCTTTTCTTTCGTCTCGTAAACAAGCATGAATGCAATGCCCTTAGCCTCTTATTTCTATAATATTTGGAAACTTAAGTTTCCTCCTGAAATGATAAAATCTAGGTTTTGCATCATCATTCCTTCTGAAAAAACTTAAAATTTGGGCACGTTTGCTCATCATCAGTCTATTCTGGGTCTTCCCTTGGTAATACTGATCCAGAAAGTCTCTCCTAACTTTTCGTGATTGTACTTTTTCTAAACAGGTAAGGCACATTCTTACGTTCCCCACCTTAGTGAATATAAATTTAGTACATTGGATTTGTTCTTATTGGTCCTCTTTAGCTCCATTTTATTTTGGAAAAAAAAAAAGTTGAATTGGTGCGAAAAAACGATAGCATTCTTCTTGTACAAGAATTGTATGGAAACCACCTAGTCTAGATTGTTTTAATCTAAATGTTGAGGCATGTTTGTATTCTGGTCATGCTGCTACTGATTTGTTATTCGTAACGACTCAAGGAATGTTTTTTCGTTTTTTATTTTTTTGGGTAACAAGAGGGGACTCAAGGAATGTTTGAGTAGCAGTTTCCATTAGTATAACGTATGCGATGGTTTTGGAACTAGAAGACATTGGTACGAAGCAAGAACTTCTAAAGGCTAAACTGGTCAATAGCCATGTTGAATGAGATTGTAAAGTTTCTTTTGTGATGATGCCTTTGCTGATCTTCTTCCGTGAAAATTACGTACTAGGGTATTAGAGAACAAGTCCGAAGTGCCTTGTCCGTCTGCATCATCTTCATAAAATCAAGGGTTTTCTTATGCTGGCTTGCGAAAGATGCTGGCTTTTCTTGATTTTCAAACCCAGCAGCCTCCAAAGCATAAGGCTCGTTTTCAACTCGGTTTAGGCGGCTGGGTCTGGTATTAGGAGCAGAGGAAGGGGACGGTGGGGACAGAGAGATCAAAGGCGGAGGATGGGGGAGATGGAAGAGGCATGAGGGGAAGGGGAGGGTGGGGTAGACGGAATGGGAATGAGGGGAAGTGGAGTAAGAAAGGGGAGACGGAAGGGGAAGGATAGGGGAGGGGAGGGGGAGGTTGAGGTTGAGTTGAATATTTTTTTAATTATTATTATTTCTTTAAATTTTAAATGTTAAATATTTCTTTTCTTTAAATTTTAAATGCTAATTTTTTAAAAATTGTAAATGTTTAATTTTAGGTAGGTAAGGTTTTAATTTTTAAATTTTTTTAAATGACGATTTTTCCCTTAATTTTGACGAAAATTTGGATGGAATTTGGAAAATTTGATGATAGGTCCTCAATTGGCGATTTTAAAACAATTGGAGGTCTTTAATTTATCGAAAAATTTATCAAGTAGTTAAATTGACAATATACAAAGAAGAAAAATGCACCTGAAGAGTTTGATTTGGACCGATTCATTGCCTATGAAGGAGAAAACGACTTAAACTACTTTTTTACATCTGATTGGAAAAAGTTTACAAACTACAAAGTCAAGTTCACAAATTCTGGGACCTACCATTAGGGACAAATTTAGGAGAAAGTTAACAATCTGACGATAGAGTTAATAAACAATTTGAACAAAAAATTTAACGGAAAATTTGGTGCATCTTCTGGACACGTAAGTGATGTCAATTTTCTGACTTAATTATAAAATTAATTCTTCAGATTATAATATCAATTCTGAAAATTCATCTCAGTCTCGGTTAACGCATGATAAGTATTCCATCACTTTCGACCGGAATCTTCTTATGGTAAAGTAAATTACATATTGGTGGTGAACTACTCCACAGAGAGAGAAGAAACACGTACGAATTCATTTACACCATCCACCTTAAATTAAACAGAAATTCAGAATTAGAACTTCATACTGCATTGGAACCAATTTTCTGGAGTGCTGCAGAAAGGAAAAAAAAACTAAGGAAGAGGAAGACAACACTGAGATCATTTTTCCATGGCTTGCATGGCATGCCTTCTTCTAGCCTTGGCATTTGTTGCAGCTGAAGCACAACAGATGCCGTCGAAACCAATTTTCTGGAGTGCTGCAGAAGGAAAAAAAAAAAAAAAGGAAGGGGAAGACAAGTTACACTGAGATCATTTTTCGATGGCTTGCATGGCATGCCTTCTTCTTGCCTTGGCATTTGTTGCTGTTGAAGCACAACAGATGCAGTCGAATATAAGTCGAGGCTCTTCTTTAACACCAACCACCAACTCCACATGGCAATCACGTTCTGGTCTATATGCCTTTGGATTTTACAGGCAAGGCAACGGCTATGCTGTTGGGATATTTCTTGCTGGAATTCTCGAAAAGACAGTTGTGTGGACTGCGAATCGAGATGATCCACCAGTCTCCAACAATGCCACCTTGCTCTTCACAGGTGACGGCCTTGCCTTGCCAACAGCAGAAGGCCAAAATTACTTGGTAAAATCTTCTGGCTCTGCTTCTTATGCTTCCATGCTCGATTCGGGTAATTTCGTGCTGTACAACTCTGGTCGGGAAATAGTATGGCAGAGCTTTGATCATCCAACCGACACCCTTTTGCCCGGTCAACGCCTTTTATCAGGAGACGAACTTTTCTCTGCGAAATCAGAAGCTGATCACTCAACGGGTATTTTCCGTCTCAAAATGCAAAATGATGGAAACCTTGTTCAGTACCCTGTAGATTCTCCAGACACCAGTGCTTATGCTTTTTATGCATCTGTCACTGATGGCAAGGGAGAGAATGTGACACTTAATTTTGGTGCTGATGGCCATCTCTACTTGCTCAACAGCACTGGTTCGAATATTTGGAATATAACAGATGGAGGTCTTCCTACTGATGAAGGAAAACTTTATCTTATGAGAATTGATGCAGATGGGATATTTCGTTTGTATTCACATGATTTGAAAAAGAATGCAACTTGGTCAATTGAGTGGGTGTCTTCCAAGGATAAGTGTGTTCCTAAAGGCCTATGCGGATTGAATAGCTATTGTGTCTTAAATGATCTAAAGACTGAATGTAGATGTCTTCCGGGATTCGAATCTGTCAACCAGGGAAATCCGGCATCCGGGTGCGAGAGAAATTTTGTTGCGGATGCGTGCAAAAACAGGGATGAGAATTTCACTTACACCATGGAAGAGCTGGAAAGCACAACATGGCAAGATATTTCGTATATGAGTTCGAGATTATCCAACAAAGACGATTGCATACAAGGCTGTCTGGAGGATTGTACCTGTGAAGCTGCGT